TTATAAGGTCTGTATACGACCAGTCATGTCCTACGCGGGCTCCGTTTTTGCCCACGCCGACCCTAAAATTATTAATGAACTCCAAATAGTTCAAAACCTTTTCTGTCGTCGAGCTGCGAACGCACCTTGGTACGTCCGTAATGCCGACCTTCATCGGGACCTAGAGCTCCCCACAATTTAACAATTTCTCAAAAAACTCTCTGAGAACTTCTTCAAAGCCTCAGAGCCGCACTCAAACCATTTAATTCGTGAGGCAGCTACTTATGCAGCCCCACGCCCCTCTCGCTATCGAGTCCGCAGGCCGAGAAACTCTCACTCGAACCCGCCTAATAAACTATCAAACGACCTGAACTGCCTCCTGGCGGCTCAGGCCAACTCTAATTAAATTAAATTATCATTCACAATTAATTTGCCTTCGTAGGCACTCCCTCAGCGGCTCGTAGCCGCCTGCGCCCTCTTTTCCCAAAAGAGGGTAGTTCACGATAAGGCACAATAAAGCTTAATCAGCCAGTTGCCTGTCCCTAAAGGCGGTTTTTAGAGGGTATCACTTAGGTTCCCCGGTAGGATGTGAGTCCCTCATAACCACGATAGACCGGCTATCGTGGTATGCGTAATGCATTTTCCGCCTCCCTACGTACAGGGTTGCCCTTTATTTGCTTCGGGCGCAAAAAAAAAACTAAAGATTTCCGTGGAGGGGAACATTCAAATGAGTCTTGCTCAATTTTTGATTCCCTACGTCCGTAGGGCTGAAATTCAAGACGTTAGCACAAAAGTGAAAAAGTGTGATGTGATGTTTCTAGATTGTCTAAATGATGTGATGAATGGTGTGGTGTAGACATGGCGTTAATAGTTAAATTTATTTAATTGTTAAAAGTTATTTGTTAATTTTTTTTAACAGATAAAATTAACAGTTAAAAATAGTACTTACTTTTGTAGTTAATTTTAATTTTTAATCGGTTGTGCTATTTTACGCATGAAATTTTAATTCAATAAACATTTCTTCATACTTTAATAGGTACAGGAGTCTCTTTATTATTAAATTCTAATTAAGCTAGGCGTATTTAAAGGTTTATTAATTCAAGTACTTATATTATATTATGATTTATAATAATCGTATAATATTTACAATGATTATTAGGTATTTAGTATTTACTAAATGTAAAAAAATACAAATTTTTCAAGATGGTCCCACAGCTGTGTGACGTCGCGGTATGATAAAAGGTGAAAATTAAACTCTATCCAAAATCCTATATTTTTGTACACTACACTTATTAATATAAGCAAAAACTAATTTCACTAAATCTAAATTAACTTTCCCAGTATTTATTTTTACAGCTTTTTATACAGCCTTGTAATATTTTGACGAAAAAGTAAACCACAAAAACAATTACTCCTACCGGAGAAATAAAATGAAAATGAAACTCTAAATAAAATGATAAAAAGAGTATAACACCAAACAATATTTCAGCCAATAGCGTAACAACAAAATACATAAAATTAACATCAACCACTAACGTATTCAGCCAATAGCGTTACCCGTATTCGTTAAAAATATCAGTTTAAACGGTTTAATAAAAATATTACTTCAAGCAAAGAATATACTTCAAGTGACATATGGGCAAATGATAATATGATAATTTTCAACCGCAATGAGATACAAGTTTATTTTATAGCATAATCGTTACAATCCTTTTTTAATGTGAAGCCTAAATTTTAATGTAGGTACTAAATCAAAAGAATACATTTATTAATGTTGTTGAAGAATTTTCCTTCATTTCATCAGTATATAAAATTTTAATAGCGCCATCTACTACATTCTATAAATGAAGTCATTTTATCGAACGAAAATTAATTCACACTCAAGGTGGTACGCAAAGATTACGCTAGATGGCATCTTTAGTGTGGTGGATAGGCTGATAGGTATACTATAAACTAAACGTAAATTATAATAATTATAATTACATTTAAAATTATAAATGTAATATAATAATTTAGGTATACAGAATATCCGATAATTATTAATTAAAGGGCAACCATAAAATAGGTTAAATGGTTTTTTTTGGGTGACAGAATTTATATGATCATTCTATACTAACTTTGTTAAAAAAAATATTATTACCTACCTCTTATATATCCTTGTCACTCGGAGCGTTGGCCGCTCACCTTGCCAGGCGGGAGATGGGATTCATATCTCTAACCCAACAATGACAATACCGACTTTTTCTAGGAGAGGCTGCTAGCTTAAATACAGCCTATAGTTGATAGAAGCCTTAGGAGGAACAAGGAGCTTTATCTTCTATAGTGTTGAGCATAGATTATTATTTATATATTATTATTTATATATTATTATTTATATAGACTCAATAGTTCTGATTACTTTTTAAAGCTGACGAGAATTCCTTCAGAATGAATTTAAAGACGTGTTCAGTAGAGGCAGTCTTACCCTACCTCATAATATCAGCTGGTGGGTGTCGTAAAAAGTGACAAAGGAAAACTAAAAGAGGACGAGCAGCTGCATATTCCTGATACCAAAGTTAAATAATTAAAAGCTGCGGTTGTCACTCCGCTTGCCAAGCGTGTCAACTATGGCTAAATTCCCCTATCCTATGATGGAGGCCATATATTCAGCGGTGGAATTTTACTAGCCTTTTATCCCTCTTTAATAATCTTTGGCAGAGGCTTATGTTTAACAATAGACTGAGTTTAGCAATGAAATTTGAAATTTTGAACTTCTATACTTAAACAAATATACATAGATGAGACCGATTATTTCATATATTTAAATAAAATAAATTTTTTTTAATGTTCGGGTGCTAAGAGATGGTGTATGACAGAATCAAAGCTTCGACTTTATAACCGTTAATTATAGGTATGCAAATTATTATAATATTTTATTTTTTGAAACAGGATTTTAATTTTAATTTTAATTTACTTCATAATTTTTTTTAATAACTACAGAATATGATAGATAAAGGTGACATTTAGAATGTATTTTAATTATTGAATAAAACTATTATTTACGCATTTCATCGCGTTTAATTACTATTTTATTTATTTTTATTATCTCGACGTTTCGTCTCGCGTCTCGTTTATGGTCACGGGGGGGGGGGGGGGGACTCAGATGTTTGACGTCCCAATGTCATAGTCTTTTTTTTTAATAATTTTATTTGGTATCACATATTACAATTTACAAGCTTAAAAGTGTAAATTTAATCACAACATTACTAATTTTATAACGCAAAGGAAGGAGTAGCACATAACTGCTATTTGATACTGCGAAGTGGTTTCCCCTTCCCTTACATTTTACATCAAAACTTAAGTTAAAACTTTATCTTAAGTTTATTTAATACACTGTAGAAAGGGGCACCGCGCTTCTTGCTAATGGATACATGAGCGCGATGATTTAATCCAATCTTTAGTCCTACGAAACATAAATATTGATGAAATACATTCGGAAGCGGGCACCGCAGCACTGCTATTGGATACTGTGCTGAGATAATTTAACGTCTTCTTAGCGTACTTAATTTAGTGAAAATATTTACACGATAATTTTACAATTTTCCAATCAAATATCCTAGGTGGCAATCAAACCTAAGATTATTTAATGCTCTATTGGAAAGGGGCATCGTGCTTCTTGCTATTTGATACATGAGCACGATGATTAAACCCATTCCACGGAGCTGCAGTAATAAAATGTTATTTAATAATGCTAAGAAGAAGGCACCACCAACACTGCAATTGGATACATGGTTGAGGTAATTTAACTTCTTAGTGTATTCAGTTTACGATATATTTACACAGTGTTATTAATAAAATGTTTTCAAATTAGTTTGACACATGGCAGTAATATGTTATACATAGTACTTACAAAGAAGTAATAAAAAGTAGATCACATCGAATTAAATTAGCACGGACGAGTCAAAAAAATAAGAAATAATATATATAAAAAAAAACATACAGAATAAAATAATGAAGTAGTAAGGGTTTTTTTCTTAATTTAATGTATAATCTAAACTTATATAGGAAAAAATACAAAATAAGTTAAAATAACAAAGAAAATACGTATAGTGTTTTCAGAACTTAGAAATAGACTGAAAGATTTTTTTTAATTAAAATAAGAAAATTAAATAAAATAAAATAATATTAAACCTTTATAATACTTATACAAAAGCTTTAATTTTTTAAGCGGATCCGTAGTCTACTCTGTTGGCGATTCTGTCCCTCATGGCATGAAGTCTTGGGCAGGAGTCCGAATTGGCTGGGTGTTTGATATCTGCTTTGGCGTTGAATTGTGTGTTATGTGAGTGGCAGTTGTGGCACTTTGCAGTGTTCGGATTATTTTTCACGGGGCAGTCACTGATTTGGTGTTCATTGCTAGCGCAGTGGGAGCAGAAGCTCTCTTGTGAGGTGCATCTTGTCTTCATATGTCCAAACTGTAGGCATTTATGACATTGCAGAAAGGGTGAAAAATTTTCCAGGTGGATTCGCTGGTGGTCGATGCATACGCGGCCCATATCCATCATCTTTCTGTAAATTTTTGGACCTACTAGGAAAATTGCGTTATATAAGTTCTCATTCCTATTGTTACGCTTGAATCTGAGCGATAAATATGAGTCGTTGAGATCGATGCTGTCGTTCGCATCTCCGCAAGCTCTGTGTTTTGGTGGCGTATGATTTTTACTAGGTACTCAGCTGGCACGTCTTTAGATATCCCCTTGAGGATAACCATGGGTCTGAGGCTTCGCACAGGCTCGGCCTTGACCTCATCGGATGTCTCTAGCCGAGAGAGTGTGTCGTCGCGTTGTTGCTGATTGTCAAATTCGATACGTAGCTTATTATTGGAGACACGTTGGATGCGGGCTGGTGCGTAAGTTGACTCCCTGTAACTGATGCTGGTTTTAAATTTCTTGATTACTTCTTCCGGTGTCTTCGACTGTTCGGTTGAGCTGACTATAATAGCTGGTTTGGTCACCGTGGGGATGGAGGGTGGAGAGGTCTTGTTAATCGCAGGAGTCCTGCCACCACAAGTGGAAGCAGCTGCTTGGGCATAAGATGGCCGCGCTTGTGAGGCAGTCACCATCTTTTTTGAAGTCTGCCATTTCGTTTTTCACGCATGAAAGCAACTCCTCCTTTATTTCTCCTAGTGCAGATGGGGTTGTTGACGCAATAACGGTGTTTAGGTTGCGGGTGGAACGTCTTATATCCTCCATGGCCAGATTGATGAGCTTCTTATTGGCCGCGGAAACGCTCTTTCCCTCGCTGATAGCAGTGTTTACGCAGATTGTTAATTTGTTCATTACGAGCATGAACGAGTCCAAGTCCTTGACCTCCTCGGCCAAAGCCGGGAGGGTAGGGGGGTCGCTCTGCGACGCTGGCATGTTTACACAATGTGTTATAATCTAAATATTCAATGTTTATACAATGTTATGTCGCCTCTACACGTTGGCCAACACAGTGGCGAATGGAGTGGCGAATATATTGGCCGAGAGTTGGTGACGGCGTCCACACGTTGGAAGGTCGTTCAGTTTACTTCGGTTCGGGCCAATGTGCGGACGAATTTATAAGCACCGTGGCGCAGTGGCTCAGCAATGAGTGGCTGCGTCGGGCGCCGCGGGTTTGATCCCGCACGTAACAAATATTTGTATGTCCTACAAATAATTGTTTCGGGTCTGGATGTGTGTCCTTGTGCAAGTTATGTTTGTAAACTGCCTGCGCGATGCGGGAGAAAATCCTAGTGTGGGGTTAACGTTTTTATAAAAAGAATTATAAAATAATATTGGTTATTAATGGGGCTGTAAATAGATATACGATATACGATTAGCTTTATTTATTCTTTACATGCATCATAAACTGGAATAAATACCATTAATAAGAACTTAACTTATTTTAAAGTTAAAGGAGTTATAATCGATTAGTCTATGTTTTAAAATTGGGTTTTGATTTTAAAGTTTAGTAAAATATGTACTTGCATTTCTATCAGACATTTGATGTATATAAAAACACCTTATAATTTATTTGGTAATTTAATTATTTTTTGAGAAAGACAAAAACAATAGCAATAAATATAATTAACACTGACTTAATAATAGGTACTAATTATAACTAAGAACATAAATGAAAAACTCATGACGAGCAAAGTGGCTCAGGACCATGCTTTGAGGCAGTTTGTGGAGGAGGATGTTCAGTAGTGGACTTGTGAACAGCTGTAATGATGATGATGATTCGAAATCTTGCACCATAAAATTATAAGAAATCGACGTTTTTTCTAAAGGATAGGGCGACAAACGAGCACACATTTCACCTGATGGTAAGTGCTTACTGTGGCCCACAGACATCTACATCTATCCTCGATTAAGAATCAAAATGCAGATGCGTTGTCACCCGTGAGGACTAAGATGAAATGCCTCGTTTCCTTTAAAAAGGGTCTCTGGTTCTCTACACTCACTAAACGAAACAGCATCATTAAGCTACTATTTCACGCTGATATTCTGTGAGAGCGTGGTCCTTCCCCGGTCGAGCCGACCTTCGTGCTGCAACTATACTTCTAATATAATTGCATGGTTCTACCACGTATAAACGACGTGCTTCATTTTTTTTTTCATTTTAAAATTGTTCTCGTAATAATCTGATTGTAAAAAAACGTTAATTTTTTTTTTGATAAATAGCTTATTGATTAAAACAAATGTTCAATAATAATTAAATCGCGCTAATTAAAGTAGTAGGAATGTTTAAAGTTGAAATTGGCACTAAAAGGCTGGTAATTGGGGCATCCACCCTACAAAGCTTGAATATAAAATTTAAATCAGATGCATGTAATCACTCTGGGAGCTTGAAGCAGACTAAACGCGGGGCCAAAGTGTGGACGCGGCGACCAAACTCTGCGAACAATCCTTTGATCTTTTGTAAAGTGCAACTCTACAGGGCGCAAGTTTGGCCTCATATGAGACTATTCTTAATTCATTAGTGTTTTATTAAAGATAATAAAAATAAATTGCAAGTTTAATTTAATAATTACATATTTTGGCCTATTCTTGTTGTTCGCCGACATTCACTAGCGCGGATTAATTTTTTTCACTTACTTTTTATTAAAGATATCATGATTATGATGAAATAATACCCACAAAAGCTGTAGCTGCGCGAAACATTCTCTTTCACTTAGCATTTTTATTGCGTCTTTAAATCTCTATGAATAAATATAACACATTGTATCAATAAGAATTTATTAAAGTAGTGGTAAAAGAAACTTTTCTCATCGTCTCATCGCCTTTAATAGAAATATTTTTTAAACTATTATACTAGCTTGAATACTAATCCCACCTAATTGTAAGTGATGATGTGTTTAATATTGTAAAGCTCTCTTCTCTTAAAGATACCAACGTTGTAGTCGGATTTAAAAAATGCTTTTGTAAAATTACTTCACTCCACTGCAATATGCATTATGAATGAGGAAGAAAGCGTGCGTGGTATGTCGACAGCAAATGGTGGAAACTGGCCGAGCGTCTGGATGTCCGATGATGGAAGGCTGAGGAGAAATTAAGCTAACTGAGTAGTAATGAGCCGTATTTTTTATTGTATTGTACAAGGGTGACAAACGAGCACACACAGTCCACCTGATGGCAAATGGGTAATGTGGCCCATAGACATATATCTTTCCTCGATTACGAATCATAATGCTGATGCGTTGTCACCCGTGAGGACTAAGATGGAATGCCTCGATTCCAGTAAAATGGGTCTACGGCTCTGTGCACTTACCATATGAAACACAGCAGCTAAGCTGTGAGAGCGTGGTCCTTCCCCGGTCGAGCCGACCCATTCGTGCTACAACTATACTACTAATATAACTGCAGCATGGCTCTACCACGTCAAGAACTACCGTACAGTGATGGTGTAAGAATTTTCCGCTATATATCATTCCGTGGGTGTCGTAAGAAATGACAAAGAGAAAATGAACCAAGAGAAATGAAAATGAAGACGGAGTGCAGAGTTGGCACGTGGAATGTTAGAGGGGGCATGAGAGATAAGACGAATGAGTTGATCGAAATAATGAAAGAAAGAGAATTAGATGTCGTGTGTATGTCGGAGACCAAACGGAAAGGCAGTGGTACTGAAGAGCTCCCTGGCGGGACGTTAGCTATATGGTCCGGAGTCCCGGAAAGCGAGAACGCCTGCCAGGGAGTGGGGATGCTATTGTCGTCCCGGTTGGTCGATCTTATGACTGAATACAAGGTTGTGAAGTCAAGACTTCTCTGGGTTCGCTTTAAACTGGGACTGATGAAGTTATTCCTTTTGGCTGTTTATGCGCCGATAGCTTCGTCGTCCAGGGCTGAGCTGGAGGAGTTTTGGGAGAATGTAAGAGAAGTTCTAGATTTGATTAAGGGAAACGAAAGAACGGTTGTATGTGGTGATTTGAATGGATGGGTAGGTATCGCTCGACCAGGATACGAGTCGGTGCTTGAAAAGTTTGGCGATAAAAGGGTTAATGATGCTGGCAAGCTTATACTGGCTGTATGCAAGGAAAAGGGTCTTCTTGTGACTAACGCTATATTTAATCACACTAGAAAAGACTACACTAGAAAAAGAAAGAATTAGAGAAGTATGATTGATTTGTTCCTGGTGGATGACCGACTGCGAAAACAGGTGATGGACACACGAGTGTTCAGGGGTGCTGACCTGGGAACGGATCACTATCTAAGTAATTACTAGATTTAGGGGTTTGTTCGCGGGTTGGCGCTACCGGACGGCAGTAACAGAACTACAGTCGGTCTGTCGCATCCCAAGCCGGAAGCTTCAGGAAGCGGATACTAGGGACAAATATCACACGAGGGTAGCCGAAAAGCTTGACACCATCGATGGCACGAAAGAATGTGTGGAGAGAACATGGCAGAACCTTAGGGATGAATGGTAAGTGCAGCGGAAGAAGTATGTGGAACGACAAAAAGAGGCAGTAGTAAAAGAAGAGATGCATGGTGGAATAATGAAGTGAGAGAAGCTGTAAAAAAGAAGAAAAAAGCATGGTTAGACTACTTGGCCTCTAGTAACAATAACCATATGAGAGAGAAGATGAAAGAAAGATATAAGCTGCAGAAAGTTCTTGCGAAAACATTGATTGAGGAAGTACGTGAAAGGTGTAGAATAGAAGCGGACGAGAGGTTGTCGCACAACTTTAAGGAAAACTCCAAACTCTTCTAGAAAGAGGTTGGAAGATCCCGGAGTGGTGCGATAGCCTTAAGAATGAACAAAGTGCTTTCGAGAACCAATGACGTCCTCTCAGAAAAATCGGACGTCATGCAGCGATGGAGTGAATTTTATAGAGAAATGTATGCGTGTCATGATCTTAGTGAAGGATCCGGGGGTAACGCCATGACTGGCACGCCAGACACGGACCTCGATGACACTGAGGTCATCAGCATGAAAGAGATTGAACATGCGATTCGAAGTTTGAAATGTGGTAAGGCTGCGGGACTAGACAGAGTTACTGCTGAAATGGTCAAGTACGGTGGGCCTCGCGTCTGGGACAGCTTTCGTCTGCTGTGCAACTTGTGCTGGCGGACGGAAGATGTCCCGGATGATTGGCGATCCGCGGTCATTGTGCCTTTATATAAAGGTAAAGGTTCACATTTTGACTGCGGGTGCTATCGGGCGATCAGCTTGACCAGTTTAGCAAGAGAAATCGGAAAGATTCTTATGGGAGGCACAATGCGGATTTAGACCTGGAAGAGGATGCACGGATCAAATATTTTCTCTCCACATGATCACGGAAAAGCTTCTGAGTGTTAACCAGAGGATTTTCTGTGCTTTTTGTGGATCTGGAGAAAGCATTTGATAAGGTTATAAGGAAGAAAATGTGGGAACTGTTGCCGGGATATGGTGTGGATGGTCGATTGCTAAGGGCTGTGCAGTCACTTTACTATGACTGTAAAGCCTGTGTGCGGGTAGGGCATGACCTGTCACCCATGTTTAGCGTCCAAGCGGGCGTAAAACAGGGTTGTGTCATGTCTTCCTGGCTGTTCATACTGTATCTCGACAGCTGTTTACAGAAGCTGAAAAATAGCTGTTTGGGTGTGAAATTGGGTGACATAAAAGTAAATTGTCTGCTGTATGCTGATGATGAAGTGCTTATTGCACCATTAGAAGCAGAACTGCAGGCAATAGTCACGTGTATGAAAGAGGAATGTGAAATTAAAGGTCTCCGTTTAATTGCTAATAAAACTAAGGTTCTGGTATTTGAAAAGGACGAAGAGAGAACGAAATGTGAAATATGGGTAAATCAGGAACGTCTAGAACAGGTAAATGAAATTGTATACTTGGGGAGTGCTTTCAGCCGGGATGGAAGATATGATTTATATGTGGATAGGCGCGTCGCTGCCGGAAACAAAGT